GATCGGGCAGTGTTTCGTTCTGCTGTGCATGGGGTCGCTATGAGTCGGAAATGACTCGACGGCACTTAACAACAACAACAACAACAGTGCCACTCTGACAAGAATATACTACAAATGGGATGCTTGGACAAACAGGAGTGTATTCTCTTACAGTTTGGAGGCTTTAAGTCTGAGCTCAAAGTGCCAGGCTCTAGGGGCTGGTTGAAAGCCCCTCAACCTTGGGCTTCAGCTCTGCCTCCTGCTTCCAGCCCACTGGAGCTAGAGGCTTTTATTCACTCAGACAGCTGCTGGCTGCTGAGACTGACAAACCCAAAGTTGACAAGTAAAAAGGTGCACTCCCAATGTTACCAAACCACATGGCAGGCCATTAATTCAAGTCAATTGAAAGTCCCAAGGTCGGCAGAGCATTACAGGCTGCTGAACAATGACACGGTTACATGCAGTGTTCAAGCGTGCCATAAGCTAAAGACCATTTCCAAAGGTGTTTCATATATACAGGAGTAGACCACATACCCAAAGCAGATACTCAGCTGCTCCAATAGTTTCTACCACGGAGTTAATTACCAGTCTCACCATGGGGAGTAACTACATTCAGCTGCCCAGCCACTCAACCAGGCCCAGCCAAGTTGACACACAAACGTAACCACCACACCCCAGGTTATTCTTCAGGCCTAGAAATAGACTCACTCCCACAGATTAGTTTCCAGTCCAACAGTAGAAAGACCTACATGTAGAACACCTATCCCAGGATGATACACCTACCTACTCTAGGGAGATGTAGCCCTTGGAGTAATCAGCCATGGGACACCAGAGTGGCAGCATTCACACAGAGGGAAAGCTGGACAGACACGAGTACATAGTTAAGAAGGGCACAGGGAGGGGGAAGTCACAGGGACGGAAGGGGAGGACAGTTTGTTATGGTTGGAGATAATAATCAGGGTTCAAATGTACATGAACTGTTGAATGTAAAACAAATTCTGCTCTGTAAATTTGCACACAAAGCACAATAAAATTTCCAAAAAAAAAAAGTTATCATGGTAATTTCTGTCCCCAAAAAGATGATGTCCACATGAAACATATGGAAAAAACACACCAGACAATTCAGACTATAAGAGAAAATATGATTATATTTGAGTTTTAGGATCTCAAACTCCTACCTACAGAATGTGAAAATGTGTGTATGCTAAAAAACTGTGTATGTACTGAGCTAAAACAGGATACATACTGAGCACACTGCTTTGTATAAGAAGGTATCTGACAGTTCATTGATATAAATGCTATTCTAAATATTTTTTCTCCAAATTTCACCTTCAGAAGCAGGAAATACAAGTTGGCATAGGTTACATTTATTCAAGGCATGAAGCATCACTGCACATAGGAAATGTCAAAGACCTCTTACCAGCATTTTGCAAACTCATCCTATCTTTCAGAAGCACATCTCCAAGGATTTGACGATAAAATACCAATAAGTGAACATAGCACATACTTCCAATTAATGTTTCTGGCAGTAGACTGTTAGAGAAGAAAAATATATTCATTAAAAATCCCTATAATCCAACCTACAGTGTTTTCTTTTCTTCCTTTTATATTTATTACTTTAATAAACATTGTCAAGTTCTGGCTCATTACTGGATTTTTTTTTTTTTTAACTATTTAAAGGAAAATGCCCATTATGAGTTGGTCAGGCTAAACTTCAGATAACTTATGTTTTGATGTATGTACCTGTAAATCTCAACTCAATGCTGCCATTCTTTATTTTTTTAATTGTGATTTGGGTGAAAGTTTACAGAGCAAATTCACTTTCCATACAGCAGTTCACA